TGGAGAAATGTTCTGTGGAGGCCTCTGCTGCTGCCTCTTCTGGTGTCCTAAACAAAGAGGAGAGCAAGGAAATGAGTTAATGGTTTGAGAGCACGTAATTCTGCCACGAGCAGGAACACCATCTCTGCTGAAGTGTGATTAATGATGCCACAGAAGAAAGAAGCCTTGTCAAATTTAAAAGAGCAAGACTGAACAAATTTAAGGTTGAAAATGAACTGAAGACTCTGTAAGGAAATACATCATTCAAGCTCTGATTCCTGGACTGCATCTTTCAGATAAAACCTCAGATTTACTGATTTAGTGCTGCTGCAGAGTGAGGAAACCTGGTTTCACCCCGGCATTTGGTTTCACTTTTGAGGACAATTCTGATGCAATGAGCTTGTGGAATGGCAGAAGTTTTCCTTTCTGTTCTTTTTCTAGTGGCTGTGTTTTAAAAGTACTTTACATAGGTGAAGTGGCAAGGAGCAGAAACTAAGGAACACCTAATCAGCCTGCCGCAGTAGTGGTATATTTAATGTTTTTAAAGAGAGGTTTTACTTGAACATATAATCACATGGCTGTCAGACCTCTCACTTCACTACATACTCTCCAAATTCCTGCTAAGCCTCTGATGCATTTTTCCCCTGGCTTGTGTCTTCTGCTTTCCTACAGCTGGCTCAAGCTGCATCATATCAAAATTGCGCCTGAGCGGCTGCTCTTCCTATTCACTTTCCAAATTCTCATTAATGCTTAGCTAGATGTTTTTTCAGCAGATGCAATTGCTGTGATGACTTACAGCATGTTCCTGCTTGACCCTGCGCAGGAGAAGATGTGTCCAGTGCACACTCTGAGCCAAAATAAGCTGAAATCTCTGCTGTGGAACGTGACAAGGTGAACCAGGCCACGTAGCAGTGCTCAGGATGAATTTCCTGTCATGTTGATTACAGTCAGTTCTATAATGTTCAAGCACGGCTGCTTTGGAATGAAACACTCTGTCAACTTCATTCAGCAGTGGTTAATTCTGATTTTGCATTTGTTTCAAGGACTGAGTATCTAATTCTCTTGGCCACCGAGGATGTAGAACGCCACGCACTGAAAGGAAACGTTGATTAGCAAAAGCATCCGTGTGGCATAGTGCCAGTTTTTTCTTCTATCATCCTGAAACTCCTGCTTACAGCAGAGGTCTCATTATTTTGTCTAAAAAAAGCAAATAGCATCCAAATACTATTAATCTTAATATAAGCCTACTGAGCAGTGAGACAATTAGCTCAACACAGTACAAACGAAGGCCTCGGAAAGCAGCAGCTTTTTAACTGGACTTTGTGTTGTTCAGTTTCATGGAAAGGAAGGACCTTGTGGAAAAATCTGCAAGATGCTGTTTCCAGGCATGTCATGGGCTGCTTCCAGAGTCCTGTGTTGCAGAATATGGCCAGAACTCGTGGAAAAAGCAAAGCCCTCAAGCTGGAAGGGGGTTCCGTGTCTCAGCTGCTGTGTATTCTTGAGAGGAGCAGCCAGCATTCCCTGTCCCAGCTCTGGCTCATGGTCCCTGCACTCCTTGACAGCTCTGCCAGGAATCAGCACAGCATCTCAGGCCCAGAGGGATGGAGAGGGTAAAGCTTAGAGCAGTTTTCTACCATGCTCTGTGATGTGTATCCAATCTGTCCAGTAAGTATTCATCTATTCTAGGAAATATTGGTTTCTGGATTACTCCCTTAGTTTCCATTCCTGAATTTAGTGATGTTTTTCTGAGTGATGTTTTCCAGTTTTGGTTTGGGGGCTGTTGCTGCCTCTTCCTTGTGAGAATTTTTTCTGTCTTATTTTTTCAGTTTGGTTTTTAGCAGGTAGGATTTAGGCCTTTGGTGTTGACTAGATAATCTTGCATTTACTTATTACCAAGGTGGAATTGCTTAGAATTGAAAGGAATATGGTTCTCAAGGTGACTTGATGTTTATTTTTTGTCATCATGTATATACAAAAGTCTCTCTTCAAATTGGGAGGATGTTTCTGATAACTCAGTGTTCCATGTAGCCCTCAATGTAGAGTGTCCCTGAAAACAAGTTCATGCTAAGAGCAATATTTTCCTAAACACTTGAAGCTGTTAACTGTGAATCTGGAAGTAGATTGGTGCTGTTAATATGCAGAAGAATTGCTCCTAGGTCTGTGTGTTTGCCAGCAGCAGTGTGGTTTGGACACATCTTGGTGGCTCTTAATTTGTCAGTGTATTTTATGAGGACTGGGCTGTCAGGCAAGGCATTGGCAAGATTCTCCCTCCCCTAAGTAGCTCTACTGGGAAAGGAATGTTATTTGCATCTAATGTAACTCTAATGGTCACGCAAATCATCTTCAGCTCAAAACCATCACGTTCCAGTCCTGACTGTCCATGAGAAGTGATGGATCCTGGTCAGCCTGTCAGTTTTGCCCTGAAAATGGCAGGTCATTAGTCTTTCTGTGGAGGTTGTACCTGGTTTTACGTAATTGTTTTTTGTGGATCTATAACTGGATCCATAAATCCATAATTGTTTTGTGTGGATCTTGGCAATTCAAGCCATATTTGAGGTATTTTCTTGGCTTATGCTTGGAATTTGCAACTTCTTTTCATCTTCACTGCCAGTTTATCAGATCTGGAAGACTTGCCAGCTGCCTTGCCCTTCCTTTTTTTTTGTTCTTATCTTTAATGGGAATTACTACAGAAGAAAGAAACACCTGCTGGTACTCAATCTTGACAGTTTGGCATTCTTGAGGAGGAAGTGTTGCTCATTCTTTCCTGGCTTGATATCCATCACTCCCTGACAATGGCATGAATTATGGATTTTAAAATATTTTTAAGATGGTGTTCTGTGGATCTCCAAGTCCAGCCTCTTCCACCTTCTCTCTGCCAGCATTTGGAGCTCAGTGGATGTTCCTGCAGTCTCTGCTGTGTGTGCAGGAGCTGTTGTGCTGCTGTCTCCATCTCCAGCACTGGGGGTGTGCCAGCCCTGAGCTGAGCACTCTGGGCACTCTCTCCCTGTCCCCAGGGTTGGCTCCCACATTCTTTTGGAGAAGAATCCCAAGTGTTGGAATGTTGTGCCTCCATGGCATCCCTCTTTATCTGCTGCTGCTCTCTGTTAGTGCCAAAGAATCTGGGGGCTTTGTTTTTGTTCTCTGTCTTCATCTCGTGAGTTTCTCGACTTGTTTCTCTCTTTAAGAATTCCCAAAAGAGTGTGATTAGGGATGTGGGCACGTTCTTTTTTCCTGATTCTCTGTCTTTCATTAAATCAAGACAAATCCTCACAAAATTAATTTGTGCACCTTGAGGTGGTTTTTCTTTGTTACTGTTCTCTAGGCATGAGAACATGGAGTTCATGAGAACCCCGCAGTTCATGGAGCTGGGAGGGCTTTGTTTGGACTTGATTATTTCACTGCATATCCTGTGTATGTTAACAGAAGTGGTTGGTTATATTAACTCACTGAGCCTCATAAAGGATTTAAGTTTGAAATAGGCTGTTAAAAGACATTCTTGCTTGGTGCTGGCAGGAAATTTATGGGATACACTTACGCAGTCATTGCAGGGGTATCGGGAGTTGTTGCGATTGACGGCTGCTCTCACTGTTCTATTCAAAATAATGAAACACAGAGAGTGTAAACTCCTTGCTTGTAACCCCACAGGAACTGCTGTGCTTTGATGTTTGGAGAAGGTGAAGAGAATTTCCATCACTGAGAAGGTTAGAAAGTCTGGATTAAAGTTGTAAACTCTTCAGAAAGATGTTTTGATTAAACATGTGCCTAGTTTCATTTGATCTTCAGAGATATAAACTTCTGTTCTCTTTGCCAAGTAATTAAGAAATGAAAAGTAAATTGATATTCTAGCTGGCTGTGTGGCAGTCTGTTCTGTGTAATTTTTTTTTTCTTAAGCTCATTGTTTCCTGCATTCTGGAGGTGCCATGAAAAGTAGGCCACATGTAGTTGAGTAAAGACTGGCACATTCAAAAAAAAATTATGTGCTACTGGAGTTTTATTCCTTCAATTGCTGTCTTCTCTGACTGTTACATGAATGTATAGAATCACAAAACTTTGAAAATTGAATAAACACTCTTTAATTGAAATCTTCTGTATTGGATAATTTGGATGTGTTCTGGCTGCTCATAAGTGGCCTCTCACCAGAAATGACCAAGGTACAGTTCTTTCTTTCTTCCATTTTCAGTTTCAACCCAAACTCCTCTCTCTCCTCATTATGAACACAAGTCACTGGTGTCGCTGAGACCTGGGGGAATTTCTGCACATGGATAGGGATTCCTTACTGCACTTTTAACTACTCAATCCAGACCTCATTTGTGGAAAAAACACTTGCAAGTTTCCTTTTCGGAGATTTTTAGCTTGCTCTTTTTTCCCTCTGTAACAAAACCCTAAAGATGTTAATGTCTGTATATGCTGTGGATGTGCCTTTCCCTGGTTTACATTCCGTGGTCCTACACGTGTTTCCCTGGTGTCCCTGCCATGCCAGGGTTGTAATGTGAGCTCATAACAGACAACCAGAACTTGGGTTTGGTTTAATGGCTTGAAAGGGGAAATTGGATTAATTAAGTGTTCAGAATTGATCATGTTTGAAAGCAATGAGCATTTTGGCAGCCTAGTAATACCTGTGGTGTGCCTCAGCCTGTGGCTTCTGGCAGTGGAGGGGTGTCAGGAGCGTTCTGGCAGCAGCTGGGAGTCAGTATTTGGGGAAGAACACAAGGATAAAGCAACTCTGCACTGATACTTCTCTCAAATGTTCTATCAGGCCCCAGTGTGTGCTGGTTTGGAGACATTTTACTTGTAAAATTAGTAAGGCAGGGCAGGGTTCTTAGTTTAGAGATGCCAGAGCCTGTGGGCAGGCTGTGAATTTGGGGCAGATGGCAGGGTCTGCATTCTTGCCAGCAGTTGCTCAGAGCACCAGGGCCTGGCCACCTTCTGTGAGTCCTCACCTGGAAGAGACTCCTGGCTTAACTAACAGCACTGTTAATTAACCTGTGCTTAATCTTTGTTCTCCTGTCTCTTTCCCTCAGGAATATAAACAGAAGCTTGCTCGGGTAACCCAAGTGCGCAAGGAGCTGAAATCTCACATCCAGAGCCTTCCAGACCTGTCACTGCTGCCCAATGTCACAGGAGGTCTGGCACCTCTGCCATCTGCTGGGGACCTGTTTTCAACAGACTAGAACAAGCCATGTGCCCCAGTTTTCATTATTACCAGCAGAAGTAAGAAGACTGGTGTTGGCTGGAAGTCCAGTCTTCCGAGATCTGCAGTAGGAAGGAACTTGCAGACCCTGCTTTGAACCTCTTGGCTGCTCGTACTCACCCTCTCTGTGTGCACTGGCTCACGTGAGGGGAGGAAGAGGAGTGAGTTTTGTGAGCTCTAAAGGGAGTGGGGGTGGTCTGTTTAGGCAAACTTCTCTCATCTTTTCCTGTACTCTTTAGTTGCTGTTTGCCCTTAGCACTTGTTACCCCCACAAAGATCACGAATCATGTACACACATACCTGGGAAGCTTCCAGAGGAAGGTTGACTATGCAGCATCTTCCCTCTGTACAAATATTGTGTTATTTCTGAATAAGTCTCATCTGTTTTAGTTGGGTTTCTGAGCCCCATCTCTGGGAGCAGTGGAACGGCTCGTGGGCCTCGTAGGGATGTGTGTGCATGCGAGTCCTGTGCCACGTCAGGGGAAGCATCTGCTCAGCAATGGTACAGGGAAAGATTTGCTCCTAAACCTGCAGTTCCTCATTATGCTGTGGCCTGATGTGAAGGTAGTTCCCATTTGGCATGGATGTAAATTGAAGTCACAGGCAATAAAAATAAGCAGCTTTTCTTTTGTGAATTAGAGGTAGACTCATAAGTTACACTGTGCTGAGCAAAGCAGAACTGGATGTTACCTAAGTGGGAGTGGAAGTAAATTTTGTTCTAGCTACCTTAGATTTATACCACATTTTTCCTCTTCATTATATGAAATCAAATGGTAATGGAAGCTTTGATTTAATGACCTGAGAGGCTGGAGTGGTGTGTGGCAGCTGCTGGTGTCCCAGTGACAAGCACTGTTAGGTCTGCTCTCAGGATGATTGCATTGAAAATCCAATGATATAAACTCTCTGTAGCTTTAGTGAAGTTGTCTGATGCACAGAAGTTAAATGTGGTATAAATATTTATTTATATAGAAAATAGACCCATATATATGCATATATCCTGTATGCACATGTACCCTGTCCATGCATGTAGATATTAGAAGGATGTACTTAATTTTGTGTCACAGATTGTGAATTGATTTTTATAATCAGGAAAAATGTAAAAAAACAAAAAAGGTAAATTTAAAAAGCTCTTAATTCCATTATGTTGCTGGCTAGTGTTTTAGCTGCCAGGGGTGTAGTTACATTTCAGTTTGTGTGTTAGGTGTGACAAGCTGGACTCTGATCACTGAACCATTCCAATCTGGATACAATTCTGTTTAAATTTAGCACCTCTCACTATAAAACAGGTTCTGTTTCTGGAGACACTTGATCTGGTAACACAGGTTTTGTAAGACAGAGGATGAAGTGAGCTGAGATGTTCTCTCTGTGCCTCCCTGTGGTCCTGAGCTGGTGTCAAAGCCAGGAGAAGAAAATGCAGAAATGCAAAGCTCGTTCTGCTCCGCATTAATTTATTTCTCAGGCTGTTCAGTAGCCCGGTCAGCATTCAGTTACAGGAAACACCACCACAGCATCTTTTGATCATTCAGTTGTTCAGAAGCTCACGTCCTTTTCCTACTGACACTTCCTTTTGTCCTTTTTTAACGCTCCTTGCACCCTCACTGCCCAGCCTACAAATGTTTTTTTCTCTTTAGTTTACAGGAATTTTTTCCAGTGGCAGAACTGTGTTCCCTGAGTCGCTTTGACTGTGCAGCCTTTTATGGTCCATACTTTAGATTAAGCACTGTGCATTCTCTCTGCTTTTGCCAAAAAATGAAAAACAAACACAAAAACCCAACACCAAACTTCAAGAACCCAAACCAAAAGACTTCTCCATCCTGATTCAGCTCACAGAGTTACCCCGAGGCTGTTAAACCAAGTTGTTTTGAGCATTGATTGAATGTGTATCCATTATAGGACAAACTGTCAAAAACTGATGTAGACAAATGTGTTGGCATCTCACGTTTGTGTTTTGGGCAGATCTGTGAGAGAGTTGTCTGTCTGGTTTTTTTATTTTTTAATTGAAATGTTTTGATTTTTTTTTTTCTGAATATATGCGTGTGTTTTATTTTGCTTAATTTAAATGAAGTCTTGTAGTTTTTAATTTTATTTGTTTTACTTTTTGGGCAAAGGGCATCTGGTGAACTGGGTGACATTTTCTGAAGGTTAAACAGATTTACCCACAGTGTGTCTTTTTTAACAAAAGCTTAAATCTGTATATTAATTGACTTAGGAATTAATTTAGACATATAGGCTGCCATTTGACAGCAGTATATTCTGAAATGTCTCATAGATATCTATTTTTGAATAAAGAGGGTGTCATTGAACAGTAGTGTCCTACTTCTTTCCTCAATGCTCTGGCACCCTGTGGGTTTTGCTTGGGTTTTTAACCTTTCTGAAGCCCAGGCAGTGACTTGGGGATTCCATGTAGAGTGGAAATGGGGGGTTTCTGTAGGACATGTCAGTTGTTACTCTGGGAAAAATATAAATAAAAGGCAAACCTGGAATGGGAGGAAGGTGCCTCCCTGCATGAGCAGCAGGAGCTGCTGTTCCAGAGGATCAGTGTGATCGAAGCCTCTCAGCTTTGGGGGTCTTCACGTTGCCCTGGGAGCAATTAATTAATTCTGGAGGTTTTGGGGAGGCTTAGGGGTTCTTCAATTAACCAGTCTGCAACAGCCTCTGTGGGCAAACAGTGATTGTTTCACATGCCCTGGAGACGATCTGCAAGGCGGATTATGTTTTATACTGATTTACAAATCTTCCCTTAAAGGGACTGTATTTAGCACTGCTTTCACACAGCCTTGCAGAGGCTGGGCAGTGTTGTGGGAGCAGGAGGGAGCTGGTGTGGGTCCTCCTAGTGAAAACCACCTTTGTGTGGTATTGCAGGAACTAAGGTGGGGTTTTTAAATACAGAAATGTGACAAGGTACTGGCTGTCCTTCCTTGCCTTTGCAAATCAGGTTTTGTTGGTTTTTTTTTAAGCGCTGGAACAAATGCCTCCAAAAATACTTGACTGTTAGGCAGCTGTCTTTACAGTTCAGTACCTCAGTGCACTGGTGTGCATTCCCTGTGTGTAACCAAGGAATGGGGCTCATGCACCTGTACAAGGTGAGGAACTGACTAACAAACAGGTTAACTGTGAGATCCCAGGTTGTGATGGTGATGAGGAAGGGCTGGCAGAGCCTTGGAGTGGTGGAGGCATCCTGTGGGGGGATGGTGGGTAGTTGTGCTGCCAGAGTTTTGACCCAGGGCAGGCTGCTATGCGCTTTGTTTTTTTGGACCAAGTTCTGATATGTTCCTTGGTCAGTTCCAAACTTTATGTATGTTTATCTCTAGGATTAGTTAGAAAAAGTATAAGCTGTCCCTAATGCTCTGAAAAAGAAAATGACCTGGTAAAACACTTGGATGAAATTTCACAGCAGGCTTGGCGCCAGTCTGTTGGAGTGAGGCCGGGACACACATTTGCCAGTGATGTCACTGGCTTTAGGGATGTGCCACGGGCATCTTTTGCCTCTTACCTGCTGGAAGGCAGCAGTAGGTAGAAAATATGTTCCTTATTTTATTTTCAGTAATGGCTTCATGTAATGGCATTTAGGAAGAAGTTTAATAAAGGCCAAGGGCCTCACAGGCGTTCATGTGTGCCGGAGCAGGTGGAGTCGTGGTCACGCTGGTCATGTACAGGTTTTGAGGCAACACCCAGGAAATGCCAGGACCAGCCAGGGTTGGGGTGGGATGTTTAAGGAAAACAAACACTTCGGGTACAGAAATGTCCCCTGGGTGCTGAGCAGCCTGAGGGATGGGTGTTTCACAGCCCATCAAGGTTGGATGCTGGACAGGGGTTGCAAATCCATGTCCCAGTGTTTTCCCTTGGCACAAGGATGTGATGGGTTGCAGCTTGGCTGGGGCATGGTGGCCAAGCATTGCACTGCTGCTGATGGAGCAAATCTGTGTGACAACTAATAGCAGTAAATCATTCACAGATTTAGGGTCTTGTCACTTTCTGGGAAGACACAAATCTTGTTTCATCTTTCTGGGAAAAGACAAGGCTTGTTTTTTCTTTCTGGGAAAAGACAAAGCTTGTCTTGTTCTGGGAAGGGACGAGAAGCTGACAGTCAGCACATCCCTCTGCTGCCAATGCCCAGCTGACCAGTCCTTACTGGTTTGTGTGCCAGCACAGCCCACCATGAGGGGCAGGACAGGGACCTCAGAGGGCATGGACAGGGGTGCTCCCTTTGGAAGCTGCATCAGGGATCAGACAGGCACAGAGAGGCTGTTGGAGTTGTCCATGAGATGGCCATGCTGGAAGAGGCATCTCTCCATGGTGTCTCCTGCACCTTCCATGGCTGTGGAAGAGGGGATGGTTTCCCATAAGAGTGCAGTGGGACCTCCTGCATCGGGGGTTTATTGTCTCTTTTGCTGTTTGATGGTGCCTCAGTTATCTCATTGCACCAAGGAGAGTAAAAATGTGTTCCATGTTTGTGGAGCAGGAGGGAGACCTTTGGAGAGGCAGTACCATTTGGAAATCCCACAGATTTGTTCTTGTGAAAGCTCTGATTTATGGGAGTTTGTTCTAGTTTCGATCCATCAATGAAGGTAAGTTAAAGGTCATCAAGTCTAAAATGAGTTTACAATCAATTCTTGGCAAGTCAGCATCTCCAGCGAGCCGTGATATATCCAGAACCTCTCCTCCCCAAGAATGCTCCTGCCTGGCTTTGGCACTTGGACTAGAACCGAATTACAAACCCTCCCACACAATGGATACTGAAAATACTTGATTTAGAATTTATTGCTTGCACGGTCAGAGTGCCAAAGAGTCTGATGGATGCAGCCCAGAACTCTTCTGGTGATCCAGGATGGGCACAGGGCGATGGATGCAGTGTGGAACCATGTCAGTGATCCAGGATGGGCACAGAGAGATGGATGCAGTGTGGAACCATGTCAGTGATCCAGGATGGGCACAGGGAGATGGATGCAGTGTGGAACCATGTCAGTGATCCAGGATGGGCACAGGGAGATGGATGCAGTGTGGAACCATGTCAGTGATCCAGGATGGGCACAGAGAGATGGATGCAGTGTGGAACCATGTCAGTGATCCAGGATGGGCACAGGGAGATGGATGCAGTGTGGAACCATGTCAGTGATCCAGGATGGGCACAGGGAGATGGATGCAGTGTGGTACCACGTTGGTGATCTGGATTGGGTGCAGGGAAGTAGACCTCAGCTCTGTGGGTGATGGAGGAAAACCCAGCCCTGAGAACCAACCCCTGCTGCTAAACTGTAACTGCGGCGTTTGGAGCCTGTTCCCTTGTCGTCGGAGCAGCCTTGCTCTGCCGAGGCTCAGATGGATGGGAGTGACCTTCAGCAATAGCTGTTCTAATGTTTATTTTATCAGGACCCAGCTCTGAAGCAGCAGAGCTGCTGGTTATTTTTAACCCAGGCGCTGAGCAGCTGGAGGCCTGGCTCAGCAGAGCCCGGTAACAAATGCTCTAAAGAGGGGCCGTGCATCATTGCTGGGCTGAGGAATGTTCCTGACAGAGAAGGCAGCGCTGGTTTGTGCTGTTAACTCCTTCAGGATTCTTTGGGGCTCCGTGTGCTCTTGGCATTGGTGTCTGGGGGGTTGGTGCTGCCAGAGTTGGGGGCTGGCATGGCCCCTGCCCCTTGCCCTGAATGCAGGTGAGAACTCCCCATCCCTCTCCCTCCTGGAGCTCTTGCCCTGTCCCCATGCCACAGGGTGGGCACTCTCTGTCCCTTGGGAGAGCTGCTTGAGCAACTCTTTATCCCTCCCTGTGCCAGGCCCCACCTCTGTCCCCACTCTACCCCACAGGGGTCCCAGCCTCCAGCTGCCTTTTTGGGTTGTGTTTGAGCAAAGCAGGACAGGGAGGTGTGGTGGTTAAAGTTGCAGAGGGTAAGGGGAGATGGATTGTGTGCTTCTCCTGGGGGGGTTTCTTGAAAGGCTTTTTTATTGGCCAAACAATCTGCTGCTGCTGTGGGGCCTGGGCTCTGCTGTGCCCACTCCAGTTCCATGCTGGGAGCAGGAGCTGGGGCTGGAGCTGAGATGGGTCCTTGGCCTCGCATGGGGAAAGCAGAGACAGGGTTTGGGAGTTCTGGCCTTGAACCCCATCCTGGCTTGGGGAAGCAGCAGCTGTGTGTGGAGCACTGCACGTGGAGATTTTATCTCATCCTAAAGATAAACAGAAAGGAAAGCTGGAGAACGGGCAGTCCTTGATGGGAAACACTCCCAGCTGCCCATCCAGCCTGAGTCACAGCTGGGCTGGGAGAGCCCACAATGTCAGGGTGACTGGGACCAGCCAGTGCGAGTGAGATTCTCCTGTCCCAGACTGTCCCCTCTGCGGGGGCTGTGGTGACTGTGGGACCCTCAGTCAGACACCACCAGCTCTATAATGGTTCCCGTGGTGTTTGTTTAGAGGAGCAGGGAGGCTCCCCTCTGTTTGTGGGGGTCATGTGGGTGGGCCATTCTGGCATGGAAAGTGTTTATCTTCAGCAGAGCCTTGACCCCAGTTCCAGGTGTGAGACAAATCCCCACTCTCCTCCCAAATCCCTGTGCAGGATCCAGTTGCCCTTCCCCTGCCCCAGCCTGGGTGCCCAGAGCCTAGCACAGTGTGCAAGACGTGCTGGTTTGATTACTTGTAGTGTTCTCTCTCCAGTTCTCTGAGCACAGCATGGAACCATTCCTGAGAGAGGAGAAATTACCTGGGAAGGTGTCTGGGGGCTGCGTACAGAGCACCTGAGAACACCAGACCAGGCTGATTTGGGGCAGAGGGGATGGCCAATGTGAGGCCATTGTGGCTGCAGTGCCAGCCGTGGCAATGACCCCCACCAAGTGCTGGCTGGGAGAACTCACCCCCACCCATGGATGCTGGGCAAGGAGTTGCTGGGTCCTGCTGTGAAGAGACGAAAGGCAAGAAGAGCTAGGTCTGGTTTTTAAAGTGAAAAATAAAGTTTTTATTCAGTGTTTGCATAGTTGATTCATATCAAGGTAATGTCCCATCCCTCCCTGCAATGTCTGCAGTGGCAGGATGGTTATTGAAGCCAATGCCCGGCTGTACACAAGCAGGTTATTTGCAGCAAGTATTTATAGATTTGTTTTATAGCTATATGGTGCATAGACAGCTTTGTGCTCACAGTATAAAATCTCTCTCTATGGAGCTGCAGTCAGAGGATGATGATGGCAGGGGCCGGAGGGGTCGTTCTGCTGCTGCCTCTATGGAAATGGCTCTGTGGGCCGGGGCTGCCAGCACTGCACAGAGGAGGGGGCTGGCACGGGGGTCCCGGTGTGCCCATGCTGGGGGACAGGCAGCACAGGGATG